ATCGAACGTTTAGACACTTTTTTTAGATAATTTATATACACATTTATATATATATATATAAACTTTACGTTAAGAAACGAACATAGTTAAATGACAAATGAATTGTACGATTATTGTATGTATACATATATCCTATGTATGTTAATTTTAGTGTGATAGAGCGTTTTCAAGGTATGAGTCGTCTATATAATTGGCTTAACCAATTTAGCCAATTGTAATTTCGCGTTAGAAATTACAATACGCTGACGCAGTAGTATCTAGTTTTTGTTGTTCGCCTATTATTTAGTATTTGTATGTTTTTCCTTTCGCTGATTTTATAGCACAGTAAAGCGCGTGGCGGACTTACTGTTAACCGTAGAGGAATGGGAGGCCCTCGACAATATCGGTAGTGGCCCGAAACTCCAACAGACAACTAATTTGGCGAACGAAGACACCCTCAACTCGAACTTCAATCCAGCGGCTATACCTTTCACTCCAATGACGAACACATATATGCCTACCGCTGCTAATGCCAATGTAAATCCGTTCCATGATTCTTTTATTAACAACAAACCACAAGATAATAGTCAAGTACCAGGTACGTGTGTTGCGTATTTAAATATCGCGATACTCTGACATCGTGCGTAATAATAATCCATGTTGTGCAAATATTTTCTGTGAATGTAACCATCATTGTTCTTGGTCTGCAGATCTTTTATCATAATGCGCGTATTAAACATTCTGGTGAAAGGAAGAAGAGAACAGATATTGGATTGAAAGAAAGAAAAAAAAAAAGAAAGAAAGAAAGAAAGAAAGAATGAATAAATATACCCGTGTTGCTTACACACCGAGCAATAGGTATACAATAATTCGAGATGACGTCATTTATGAGATAATGTAAATAAGCGCTATCGATGTGTGTAGAAAAAAGAAAACGGAGATCCAAGTTATAGGAGAGTGGGGGCACTACGTCAGTAAGGGACAAACTTTACTTTTGTCCTTCGAGCGTTGTCACGAGAAAAAAATGTAAAATAATATATAATGTTAATTAATAATATTATGCAACAGCAAATAGGCACTCAGTCCGTTATAGTATGCTATTAGATATAAATCTAATCTTTTAGAGGACCTTTAATGGGGAAAATAAGGCCTGTTTATAACATATTTCATTTCGAACGGATATACGCGTAATATAGATTTTATCGTGTGTATGAAATTTCGTTAAATTCATTTCACACATTGATTTAACTACATTCGCCCACGTGCTCTAACGTTTTACGTTCAGAATGTTCTTTTTTTAATCGGGATAATAATATACGAAATGGAACGGGATTTTTTATCGAATTTGACGACACGAATCAGTCGGTGTATCGAAGGAACGAACAAACAAGGAAACAAACAAACAAACAAACCGAGAAACACGAAAAAGCGAAAAAAGAAAGAGAAAAAAAGAAAACATTTTTATGCGTAAACGAGTGTGTAAAACGGCTTGACAAACATGGCACAAGATTGTGAATTGGTTGAAACATTTTACGGAACATATATCTGCCAAAATGATGTAGGAGGTAAGCTCCAATGATTGTCCTTACATAAGAGATAGTAATAATATTACCTTATAGAATTTGAGTATAGAAAATGAATCTATGTATAATCATATCTAGTAAGATCCTCTGCAGATATGATGTAAAGAAAAGAGAAAAAAGAAAAAAATAATAATGAACACATTTCTTCCATACTACATTTTGGGGCGTGCGCTCACTAGTCAAGCAATTTTACTGTTTTTATCATATTCCTCTTCTTCTTCTCTTACTCTTCTTCTTCTTCGTTTTTTTTTCTTTTTTTTTTCTATATATATATATATTAGAAACTAACATAAATTTTCTAGCTGTGATGACGACGACGACGACGATGACGAAGAGACGGGCGCGGTTGCTTTGTGAAATAGCCACTGCATTACGTTTACGAAATAGGAAAACCGATAGCTACACGTTACACGTTTGTTTGTAAATGATGTTTTACTTATTAGCTACCGATAGGCGAGAGACGAAATGCAAATATTCCACAACGTTTGTTTCACATGCCCGGAAACATTAGCATAATTGTAATGGAAATTCTCCGGCGAAGAAGGAAGGCCTCAGCTTCGCGAAATATCTCACGGGAAATCGAACACGAGAGCAAAAGAAAGAAAAGAAAAAAGGAAATTCTCGAGGTCACGTTTATTCGTTATCCATTATAGTGGTGGCTAATTCATTATAGTGGTATTCATACTAGTATACAGATAGAAACCGATAATTTTAAATGCCTGATGTTTACCGAAGGGAAAAATATTGTAATTGGTGTCTAAGACATGAGTTATTTGTTACTATTGTGGCATACTATTATAAAATCAATATCGTTAGCATGCTTTGTGTTTACAGAACACTTGCGCAATCGCAGGTGCATAATAATATTGTCTGACCTTATAAGGTTGTTTATACGATGGGTAATAAAGTATAAATCCGATTATCCTAATTTTTCAAGTAGCAGAAATAAAGAGGAAAGCAAAAAAAGTCATCGACCTGCCTGAAAAGGATTATCACCAATCTATACAAACTCTATATACCGTTTGTCTCTCTTCTCTCTCTCTTACTCTCTCTCTCTCTCTCTCTCTCTCTCTGTTTATTTTAATCTTCTCACGTTTGTGCTACGTACGATATTACCAAGAGTTCCCCTGATTTCTTTCTGCATACATTCTCTGTCGCGATCAATTTCAAGGAATTCTACGCTGCATTGCTTGCTACCGGTTCTTCTCCCCTCGAAATTATAATTAATTTAAGGACTTCGAGCACATATTATACGTATGTAATGCCGCAGTGTTTTTGTATCGCAGATTATTTCTATTACGCAAAACCTAAGAACTAATGATAATTTTAAAACGTCGAAAGGGATAGGGAAAGGAAACGAAAAATGAAAAACAAAGGAAGAAAACAACAGCCAACAACAGAATATGTATTTTTATCGAGAAATTGTAGCACACACTGCTGTACAGAAACTAAGACACTTTTAATTGCCTAAGCTTCGTTAAGCGCGCGTGTTAGCTGAACGATACAATAATACCGCGAGGGAATTCGAATTCATTTCTTACGTATTCGCAACTCGATAACTCCACGTGGATTATTTTCAACCATTCTCGAAGGGAACGACGAAAAGAAAGAAAGAAAGAAACGTAACGGGCGCTGCTTTTCTCGAGAACAAGAAGTATGCAATGGCTATATTATCGAGTTTATTTATTCAAACTATTCTATTCGGTCTAACTAAAACTTACTCTATAAGGACACGTAATAATAATAACTATAATAATAATGATAATAATAATAACAGTAATAATAATAATAATAATCCCAATACATACGAACGAATGTTTCTAAACATACAAACACTGAGAATGCTAAATATCATCAGTCATGTCTAAAAATACTTCGTATTGTATAAATGCTTGTATGTAATAAATACTTAATATTGAAAATAAGAAGAGAACGCTGTTTAATGAACCTCCTAAATCTGCCGTTTGTCGCATTCACGGGGAGAAACTTGCCATCGGAACAGCCACGACAAAGTCCCGTGGTCTCGTGTATACTTTATATTCACAAAAGACCTTATTCCCCGTTAAGCTTGAACACAAGAGTTCGAGTCGCCACGTAATATGTATCTCGAAAGTTCCACACGAGTATTGTGCGTCTTATT